ATTATATAACGCTAATACCAATCATACAAATATTTTCTTTATAAACTCGAACATTTAAATATGACTATTTATAGGATGGTTATAAATGTATTAATTATTTCTTTTCAAAGATTCTGGATCGATGTCTGTTAAGGAATTGGGTAAATTTGGCAAACTATTTACTTGTGTATTAATACAACAGAGGATTACTAAAGAGTTGGGTAAGGTTGGTAAGCTGCTTATTTGAGTGTTACCACAATTAAGTACCATTAAGGAATTGGGTAAAGTTGGTAAGCTGGTTATTGGAGTATTAGAGCAATCGAGTTTTTTTAATGAGTTGGGTAAAGTTGGTAAGCTGATTATTTTAGTCTCATTGCAATCAAGTAATCTTAAGGAGTCGGGTAAAGTTGGTAAGCTGGTAATTTGAGTAGTACTACAATTGAGTTCCGTTAAGGAGTCGGGTAAAGTTGGTAAGCTGGATATTGGAGTATTATAACAATAGAGTTCCGTTAATGAGTCGGGCAAAGTTGGTAAGCTGGTTATTTTAGTCCTTCTGCAATAGAGTTTCGTTAAGGAGTCGGGTAAAGTTGGTAAGCTGGTTATTTGAGTAGTATTACAATAGAGTTTCGTTAAGGAGTCGGGTAAAGTTGGTAAGCTGGTAATTTGAGTAGTACTACAATTGAGTTCCGTTAAGGAGTCGGGCAAAGTTGGTAAGCTGGTAATTTGAGTATTGAAACAAACAAGTTCCGTTAAGGAGTCGGGTAAAGTTGGTAAGCTGGTAATTTGAGTATTATGGCAATAGAGTTCCGTTAAGGAGTCGGGTAAAGTTGGTAAGCAGGATATTTGAGTATTATAACAATTAAGTTCCGTTAAAGAGTAGGGTAAAGTTGGTAAGCTGGTTATTGGAGTATTGTAACAACTGAGTTCCGTTAAGAAGTCGGGTAAAGTTGGTAAGCTGGTTATTTTAGTCTCTCTGCAAAAGAGTTGTGTTAAGGAGTCGGGTAAAGTTGGTAAGCTGGATATTGGAGTATTGTTACAATAGAATTTTATTAAGGAATTGGGTAAAGTTGGTAAGCTGGTTATCTGAATTTCATTACATTGGAGTACTTGTAATTTTCGATATCTTTGCAATCCTCCTAATGAGTTTAATATGTCCTTGTTGGTATTTGTAATGGTTAAATCAATAGTATCATCATCATAAATAATTAATTCAAGATTTCTGATTCTCTTTTCTAATTCAATAATAATTTTTTGCTTTTCCTTGGATACTTCTCTAAACTTTTCTTCATAGTTATTAATAATTTCTTGCTTAGCTTTGGTTTCTTCTCTAACCTTTTCTTCTAAATATTTAAATTGTGAACGTAACGCTTCGTTACTTTGCTCTAACTCCTTAATTCTCATTTCAAAGTCATTTAGGGATTTTTCTAAATTTTTTTTTAAAACCATTTTTTTTTTTTTGAAATCATTTTTCGGATTGGGGTGCTTTTATTGCTGCACCAATAGAAAATTTCTTTTTACTCAGCCCTCGGTTAAATTTTTTCCCAGTTGCAATTTGTTTCCATAAATTCCATAAACTAGAATAACTTTATTATCTTACCAAATAAAAAGATTCCGCCCACCTTATAATAATGAACTAATAATTATTACGTAATTCATCATCATAAAAAATAATTTATCAAAAAACAAGAAAAAATTACCAGTGGCGATCCGAAATCGTCAAAAATAATAAAAAAACAAAAACATTTAACAAAATAATAAAAATAATCGCCCTATTGAAAAGCAACTCGAAAAGACCCTCAGTCACGAATCGAAAAGTAACTAAAAATATAAATATTAGAATAATTAATAATCGATCGTAAATTGAAAAGAACAAATAATAATTTATTGATTGTTTAAAAAAAATTTTTTAAAAAAAACCCGAATTACCTAAGACACGTAAGAAAGAGAAACATAAAGAAAGGAAAAGAGCCTTTCCATTCAATTATATTTACTGAAAAATATTATAAATAATAAATATACATTGAAATTTTTTTCTCTTAAAAATTTTGTCTTAAACACAAACGTAAACAAAATAAAACAAAAATCAAATAAAAAAAAAGTATAAGATCAAATGCAAATCAAATATTAAATTTGAAATAAAAGATCTAATCACAAATTACAAATATAGTTCATTCATTCTATTTCAAAAAAAAAAGAAAAATTAGGTTAAAATTTAAAAAGGATTAGATTCACCTCAAGAAAAAAAAAACTATATTTCATTTAGAAAAAGAAACCAACAATAAGATTAAAATTAAAAAGTTAGTTCTATATCAAAAAAAAAATACTATGAAGTAACAATTTTTTTTTAAAAAAAAAAAAAAAAACGAAAAGATCAACGAAATTAAATTTTTGCAAAAATATCGTTTACATGATAGTCAAATTTAACATTAAAAAAGTGTCGCAAGAAAGCTTAAAACACTAATTTATTCTAATGATAACATAGAAGCATAACATATATATATCTATATAGTTGCTTTATAAAACGAAACGTATTATCAAAATCATATATAATGATTGAAGATCAGTACAAATAAAGCGAAAAAGTCGATTTTAGGAAATGATCACAATATCAATCTCTTTCCTTCGCCAATGAAGCGTTTATAAAATTAACCTTCAATTAACTGAGATCTAATTCAAGGTATAAATGGATACATAAGTCAGAATACTTGATATCTCTTTTAAAAAACTCAACTCGAGCTCGAACTTCATTTATTCACAATTCTTTATACTTTACATTTTAAAGGTAAAGTATTTATCGGAATTTCTATAAAGAAATTTGGATACGAGTTTTAAAAATAAAAATTGTGACGAAAATCAGATTATTAATTACATCCTTGTGGTTTAGACAAATCAATTAACGATTTATCAAATTCATATTTTTCCTCCAATTACTCCAAGGAATTTATCGCTATATATTCAACCAAAAAAAACTGTCAACAATACAAATGATTGGATTGAAGAATCTATCTCAAGATAAACTTATCAATACTGCGGTTTTGATGTTCAAAAGATTGGTTCTTATAGCTTTGGAAAAGTCTATCACACAAATTACAAAAGCTCAAACAACCTCACGCGTTAAAATCATTTCATAACTATGACAACTTGCTTGTGAGGTAATTGCAAATATAATTAATATAAGCTTCTGTCTGTATAGTATACAACATTTTATACTGTATATCAAGCTAACGTTAATGTAGTAATTAGCTTTAACGTGAAGTGTGTTTTCATCATTATAATATTCTCCGCTTTTGTGTTATAAAAAGTAATTAATGTTGTTAATAAGTTTATTAAAGATAGTTAAAGACCTTTTTATATTAAAAAAATATTGTTAGGTATAGAATATGCAGATGCACTTAGAAAATCTTTGGAAGGATAATTTCAAAAAACTAACTTAGGAACTTTGCATCCCAGGTGGCATACCAATTATACCAATTGATAATATGTTTTGTTAAAATCTGTTTAGTTTTTGGGATAAACATTTATTACACGAAATTTGAAGAATATTGCATCATAATAGGCTATAAAAATATACTGTAATCAATAAATTATATAAAATATGAATCAATAACTCTCATTTTTGGCATGAGGGATCCCGTAATCCGATTTAATACTCCCATGCCATGTACTATTTCGACATGACTCATTTATCATTAAAATTGAGTCATGAGAAAAGTACAAAATTGATCGTGTTTTGACCGACCGACGTTTTTAAACGACCATAACTGTAGCTTTTAGCATTCCATCCGATTTTTCAACAAGGTTTCTTTAAATAAAAATTTATGCATCAGCAGCTTGGAGAAACTGATTTGTGTATGTTAGGAAATGTTACTCAAAATATATAAGTCACCTCATAAATTCGTAAGAGGTGATTTATGTATGTTAGGTTTATTATGTATATTATGAAACATGATGTAAGATAGCAAATATGTATGTAAAGCAATTGTAAAGAGAATAAATTAAAGTTTTATTGAAATAATAAAGAGAAATAAATTTATTATATAAAAATGGAAAAGAAAAATAAATGCAACTATTATTACTACCTCTGTCGGCGTTCTGTAATAGGCCCAAAAATGTGGATAGAACTATCTAATCCTAATCTAAAATCCAAGGCGAAAAGTCCTTCTTTGCATAATAATTTCTCTTCCTATGGCTTGGTTACGGAATTCTTGGCAAACTCAATATTCTTGCGACTGGATGATTGGCCACCACTGGACCATTTACGAAAACCTTAATACATGATGGATTAAATTTATTTAATAAAACAAAAGTTTTTGTTTCACACGATCGAAATTCATTAACAAAAACGTGAAAAAAAATTAAAACTTAAATAATCTAATTTCTTAGATATAAGATTAATAAATAAAGTTCTCTATTATTGGCTCTTTCAAAATCATTTAAAGATAGCCAGGTCATAAATTAAAAAATTGTCATCCCAAATAAGTAAATAACATTAAATTAATTTTATTTTGAATCTTTGAGCGAAATTTAAGATACAATCTAATCAATTTATTAATTTAAATCAAAAGAAAAAATTTCTAACCTGCTTTTACAATTAAATCTTTTGTAAGTTTCAATCGGATGTAATGAATTAAACCAAATCTATAAATGGGCCCTACTACGGGGGAGGGAGAGATTTTGAGATTTCATAATTATTACTTTATTATATAATCATTTACTTTTCTAATAATGAATACCGCACATATAATCTATAGAATAGCCCAAATATCAATTATTTTTTTTTAGAAAATTTCAAGAATAAGTATAAGTATTAAGTATTATCCATTAGGTAACAGTATGTCTTTTTGCATTTTCTAGTATATTTAAATTATTAAGAAAATAAAAGGCTGGCTGGAGATCATATACTGTATATTATAATTAATTCACATGGCAGAAAGTTATGTTGTCAAGTTGCGGTTAAAGAGTATTTATGAAAATTCATTACAGATGGGAAATATTTAACCGAAGGAAGAAAAAATAAATTTGAAAAAAATCTTTTTTTTGCATTATATTTTTTTCAAACAAAAAAAAATAGCAAATAAACGAATAAAATATTTTCTTTATTATTGGAAAGATTTAATTGCAAAAAATGATTTAAAGAATAATATAGAAAGAACCTTAAGAGACCTGAAATCTAGAATTGAAGAATTAAAGCAAAGGGTTATGTTCACGATTTAAATTTTTAGAAGAAAAAATTAGAAAGCGAGAAGAAGAGGCCAAAGTCAAGCTAGAAACTATAAAATAATTTAGAAGAAATAGTTAGAAAACGTGAAGTTGTAACAAAAGCCAACCAACAAATTATGGAAAAATTGGAAGGAAGAATCAAAAATCTAGAATCAATTACTTATGATAATACAATTGATAGTTTTAATATTACATATACTAATAAGGACATATTAAACACCTTAGATAGATTGCAAAAATATCAAAATTTGATAAAATTCTATTGTAAATATTCTCAAATGACTAGCTTATCAACTTTATCCAAATAATTAACAGTACTCTATTGCTAATTTACTTAAATAACTAGCTTACAACTTTATCCAATTCCTTAACGGAACTTAATTGCTCTGATATTTGAATAACCAGCTTACTAACTTTACCTAAACTAACTTTAAAGGTAAAAATAAACAGAAAAGAAACTAGCTAAAAGGAATATATAAAATAAAATAATACATAAAATCCTTCCATAAAGTGGAAACTCTAAAGATAAAAATTATATGATATATCATGTCAAAAGCTATGTATAAATAGTCTTTATATACCTGAGAAAATACAGGTCTACATTAAGAAATAAAAATAAAGAAAAGCAAGTATATTTATATTAGATTTACAATTACAATAAATATAAAAAGAACATGAGAATTTTTTAGTAATCCAATTATCAAAATACTCTATCATAAAAAAAACCACCAAAATGCTTTAAATACAAAAATTAATAAATAACGCTATCATTTAAATTACATAAGATCATTGATAAACAAAAAGTTTAAATCTTAGATTTATCAATATATTCAGCAAATAATTTATCAAAACTTCTTAAAGAAAATAAAAGATTGAAAAATGAAGTTTTATTTCAAATGCGTAAAGCTGAATAATATAAAGTAATGTTAGAAAATGTGAAATTAAGATAGCCAAATAGAACAATTAAATAAAAGGAAAGGTGATAGAATATTATTTTTAAAATTATCCCTAAAAATTTTTAAATTATATTTTCATATATCAAAAATTGTATCAAGAATTAATATTTTGTAAATTTATAAAATACTATATTATAAATTTTTCATTTTTAGAATTTATTTTAAAAGTATTATGCAAATTAAAAATATATTATGTATCAGAGACTTTTTAGTATAATGATATATGAAACTTATAATACTATATATATTTATTTAATAATAAGGAATAGG